GTTAATTAACCCTTTTATGTGGAAGTTGCTCTTTGGGTCACTTGGTAACACCTCAAAGAAGCTCAGCTGTGTTATGTTGTGCACGGCACCAACAGTCCCTCACAGGAATATCAGATTGCTTTTTTGTGCTGCCCAACAACTGTGCTTCACTGTTTCATGTGCATCATTGTACAGTAAACCAAATGCAGTGAAGAGGACTGCACAAAAGACCCTGGGTCATTTTGTGCTGGCAACCTACTGTGTACACACTGAACCTGTGCATGTTTGGGTTCCATAGAGAATTGATTGGTTTAGTCTACAAGTTTAAAATGGAATCAATCTTGATCTAATCAGAATACATTTGGAAAACATAACAACAGAGGTGAACTTTTTGGTAAGCTGCCGTTAAGGAAAATTCACCCACAATAAGTAGTCCTTACATTGCTTTCTTATCTCCTTTTTCCTTTCAATCTAGTGCCAAACTGAAGAAAACGTACAGCAACAGCGCTTGAGCATCTTTGTCCAATGTAGCATGTTTCAAGTTTAACAGAACCGGAGCGAGCAAGCCAGAACTGGGTCAAGCCGACCACAACCAGATCAAGTTTGCCACAAGCAGATAACAGCTTTTGAGAGTCTTTGGTTGCATTGCTGGGTTATGCCTGACAATCTCATCTTGCCTGAAAAGGCTGCTGCTAGTGTGACCTCATTTTAATCCCGTTCAAGCCAGTTAAGAGCGGTTCGTTCAGGCTCAATCTGCCGCTAGAGTCTGTCTCCAGACTTTCAGTGATTTCTGTGACGACTTGGTGCAATTTAGAAGAGTTGACATGCATGTGTACTGAGTTGTCTTGTTTGAATGGTCAGACTTTTTACTTGCGATTTTTTTATAACCACCGCCCTTATTCAGAATCACATTGTGTTGCAAAGTCTATTGGCTAATCAGTGATCCCACTTTCTTGATCTACTTTCACCCGCTAAGTTGCTAATTGATTTTACTCAAAAAAAATCCAAAAGTTTACAATGTAGGCATTAATACAGAATTAAGAGTGTTTATCCTCAAATAGATTGTCAGTTATTCTTGGTTTTGAAAAAGTAATCCTTCCCCCAATTTAACATGATCTCATGCACAAATTTTCTCAGCTCTTTTGGGGAATTTTCATGCGGTGCTGTTTTTGTCCAATTCCAAGGATGTGACACACACTTGTAAATGTTATGGCATTGTAAGTTGCCCCTACAGAACAGAATACTTCCTTCAGCCATTTAGAAGCATGGCGGACACAATAGGAGGGTGTTATTTGAAGTGGGTAAATTTGGTGCAAACACTAAACTAATGTGCAGAGATCAAGAACAATAGATATTTACTTGGGCATTGGCTTATATAATTCAGGACTTTGAAGTGAGCACACTGGTACTGGCTGATTTCATAAAAAGCATCCCTAGGAGTTTACTAGGAGCCATTTTTGCAGAAAATTTTGCTCGAGCAAAAGCACCGAAAATCAGCTTGGTACTGATGATCAGACCTGCTGTAGTGTGTTACAGTGTTGTAGCCGAGTACTTTTTGAGTGCTAAGCTCACCGCCAAATATTGAACTGGTTAGGTGTGAATGAAACTGGAGAACGTGGACATTGGAGGCTTGATACAAAAGGTAAAGATTACAAAATAAATTGATAACTTCAAATTATCACAGTTGTGGAAATTTTTAAATTTTTTTTTTAAAGGACTCCAAAAGTACCTGACCAAGTATGGTACTTTTAGCACTTGGCTATGACACTGATGTGTAACTTTTAGGCTGGCATCCAGCCTAAGCCTGTTTTCTACCCGAAGTGCATTTCTGCACACATCAGCTCTAAAACTGTCCCAAGTAAGAAAAATCTGGCTATTAAGTGCAGACATCGTGCATGTGGGTCATCCTCAGCGCATGCTCATAGCTGGACATAAGCAGAAATAAAAGTACATAACGGTATGCATGCAGACATTCCAGGATTCTGAGATATGTAGAAAATGGAAGAACTTCCTTTTGAGCTAGTAGTTGTCTGTCCATTGTTATGTGCTCTATGGTAAGCTAAACTTTCTGGTACATTTGATGGGGAAACCCATGCTTAAGACATGCAGGAATTCTTTGAATATGCAGTTGTGTACATAACGTTTATTTCTGATTGAACATAAACGCACTTATCTCCCTTCCTACAAATGCAACACGTCAAGTGTTGGGAGTTTGTATAGTAAATGTAGATGTGTGTTTATGTGACAGGTGTAAAAGACACAAACACGTGCATGTTTGACAGCAAACTAAAGAATCTTTTTTATCTTGGGAGGGGGATATTAGGGGAAAGAATTGTCCGATAAAAAGCATGTGGCCGAATTGTTTGAAATATTCAAAATCTTGGAGCATTTTTGAGAGTGGGAAATGGACATGTTTGGCAATTTTATTATATTTACCATTGAAACAAAAGGAGAATCATTGCCCAAACAAAATTCTGGCTTTTGAGAAAGTCAGAATTTTTATTTCAGTCACTGAGAATCTATCTAGGGCTCTGTACAGTTTGATCCTTTATAGATGTGCATCTATGTGGATGCAAGTTATTTTCAGCAAAGAATGTTTTTGTTAGATAGTCACATTTTTTGTTTTATTTCATTGATTGATTTCGTTCAAAGATACAGTTCCTTTCTGGAAGTGATTAAGCAGTATGATTTATTTTGATATATTGCTTTGTCACAAGAAAGGTGTGGGAATGACAATGCTAAATCCATACCTCATCCACTGAGCTTAAAATCATGTCCTGAACTGAATAAATCTTTGGCGATATTGTCCTAACCAGAGAAAGGGCTTTCTCTGGTCTGTAGCAGCTTGTACGCAGATCAATAATTAAATCAAAGTGCATTCCTTGTGAGTAGTCATAACAAGCAAATGTTGTAGTCACAATCTCAAAGAGTTCAAGTAGCCTTTCTACCCTAAACCATTGCTGGTTCTTCTCTGTAAATAGTCTTTGAATGACTCAGTGTCATCCACTACAGTAGTGTGTCCCAGTTTTAATGGTACCACCAAGTATACTTAGACCAGACCAAACAACAGCAGCCAAATGAACATTTGTTGCATGTGATGGATTGTGTCAAGGACAAGTATTTACACACTTCTTGGCTCAAGTTAGCGTGTCCAAACAACTAGCCTTGGACATTTCAAACTTTAGAATGTACCTTTGATGTCTCTGCATGTAGAGTGTCCTCCTGGCTTGCCTTAAAGTGTCTCAACTTATTCCAACTTTTGTAACCTTTGTGTGTATACAAAGCAGCATTTCAGATGTTTTCTTAATCTGGAGCATCTTTTAAATTCTATTTTTTCAGGTAGTGATTGATTGAGAATTCTGTAGGTAGAAGACATTAATGAACAGATGCCTGTTGAATGTTTTTGAACAACTTTCATCACTTCATAAGTCCTGTTGTGTCATTGTGTGGACTGGTAAGATAGAGAGACTGTATTGAAAAACTTTCATAATCAGATCCAAGTTATTTGACTTCTTGAAAGTTCTGTTCAATAGTTATGCAGATAAATGTCAAGTTCAGAAAGCATTATGTTCTTTTTCAGTAAAAAAATGTGTTAGCTTTAAGTATGTATAAGGACTAGGCCCAGCTTCCTAGTTGCCCCTGTCACCAACCCTTCTTATGCTGGCAGATGGAATACCACAAGCGCTTTGACATAAGTTGCACAGAAAAATGAAGTTATATTCAGACATTTCTATATTTGTATCAAGGTATGTACAATCAAAGTATTTTGGGCTATATTTTTGTAGTTTACAGTGTGTTGGAATGTAAAAGGTTAACAAGTCAGTAGAGCAAACAAATCATGCAATGCAAGTGATTATTAGCTAGCCAGCTGCTGAGTTCTAGACAGAAAGATGGAATCATATCAGAACAGCTTTCGTAGAAATATGGTGTTATTTTAATGTAATCATTTATGTATATTCTGTAGTAGACATCATTAAGGCTGTTGGACCGTTATGGTCTTGCCAGGCCCCCAGAGAAGCTAGTTTTTTTGTGACAGTGTATTAAAAATTCCAGATTTGCTCTAACATCAGTTAGACCTCCTGGAACGAGACTAACACAACATAAGAGAAAAGACAAGTCCTTCTTGAGTTTCAAGTAAAAAGCCAGATGAATGGGTTCCCCAGATGGTCAGGGTTTCAGAGAGAAACCAAGTTCTTGTAGTAAAACTATGCAAAGAGTGTGGAATGAGAAATCTGTTTTCCCTGTCAGATGCCGAATCATTTCAAAATGATTTCCCATACAAACAAAATCAAACAAAACAAAAATGACTATTAAAGTGGGATGCTGTCCGTGAACAATAAATATATCAAGATGTGTGGGGTGTCAGCAGTATTTTTTTCAAAAGGTTAAATGGGACTTTGTGTTTTAAATGTATTCTTTGGGAAACTCGACTGCTGTTAAGAGACACTGAACTGTGTGCATGGCTCATCCAACAATTTCCTCAGCCGAGTAGACATTCCAAAAAGTTTTGTCTGTATTCCCGAAATGGACACTGGCTGCTAACAGTGCACTCTCTTGCTCTGTGACATTGACATGTGATAAATATGGTATTTCTAAGTTTGGCTGGTGTAAGAGATACTAGTTTATAGTGTGATCTTTGTAGTCTGACAGCCTTAATTTTGCACGTGTAGTTGAGTAGTGTTAAATGTACTGAAAATCATGTACTCGTAAAAAAAAAAGAGTAACATAATAAACTCTTGGGGGAAAACCTAATGCTGTGTGTAAATGGTAAGGGAATGTTCTAAGGCAGTATAATATTCATGTCATTGTTGGCATAAACTTGTCATTTATAGACAGTGGTGCAAGCCAACATTGTTCCCTTTGAGTCACATTGTTTTTTTTGTTTAACTGTTGGACTTTAATTAATCAAAATGCTAATCAAAGCTAAGGCATTATGAACAGTCAGTGGTGTGTTACCACTGGTCTTTGTTACTCCTGGATGTAAAAGAGGTACATAGCCAGGGTTTTCTTGACCTGTTGCAAAATATAATTTTCGTCCCGTTAAACCTTTTTTTACCACCCCTATACCTCAGAATTGACGCCTTGTGCTGTTGGTGGATTTTCAGAAAGAGCTTTTCTCCAGGTTGCTAGGTAACAAAGTGCCCTCTTTCATTCATGCACAATCCCAGGCCGATTTGGGTCATTTTCCAAAACTGAGACTACATGTTGATATTCAACACAGGTTATTCACCATTAGTGTTGATCCAGTTCTTACAGCATGCCTACACGACTTAAATTTATTGTTCCATGGTTGCACTCCAGAGGGCGGTATCATCCCACCAATATCAGAGGCCAAAGTGGGCTTGAAGCAGTCTGTCAAAGCCTGTCAAATGTAGCAGGAGTTACATTTATTAAGAACTTACACATTTGTATTGTCTGTGCTTGAGCAACAGTCTTCAGCACACATATCCTCACAGATTCTAGGATGCTAGTTTGGTGCAGACGTGGAAATTTTTCCTTGTACTTTGATGACTGTAATGCTAGGTCATTTACTCTGCATTACTACACAAACACTCCATTGAGTTAAACTTGCATCATTCGATGCAGTCTGAAACCAAAATGCACAGACTGACCATTCAGCATAACCTTGTTCTGTATTGGGGGGGGCATGGAAAAGCTTGCTGTATATAAGTGTAAATGTTTCATTTATATGTAAATGGTTCATTTCTATACATGTACATCACATGTGGTATATCTTGTGTGGTGTTTTAAAGTGCTCAAAGGTGATCAAAATTGTTTCCAGATCTGCCTTTGGTTATGTCTAATACTGTGTGTTCCTATTGCAGACAGAATATATGTTATGGGGGGGGCTTCAATCTTGAATCAAATCTGAACACTGTAAATGGCACTGGAATTAAGGCTGGCAGCAGGGAACCTGACCAATTTCCATTAATTTATTCATATGTAGTAGGCTCATAGTACAGAGAAGCATGCATATCGTTGGAGCAACCTTTGACATCTCTTTTAAGTGGGAGTGTGTTGGAACTTTATTCCAGATGAAAACAAGCTGAAAGAAATATGGTTGACTTCCCAGATGTCACACAAATAATTTAAATCGTACTCGCTACTTCCATTGGAGCAAAGGCGTCAGTCACTTCTGAAATGTTTTTGGGGGGAACAAAGTGCCTTAAGCAAAACCAACGTGAGAGTGAAGCCTTTAACGGCATGCCAGAAACTTTCCGATTCTAGATGCTCTGTGATTTGACCTGAGGCAATTTCTGACCACTTTACCCAATTTTGGAAGCCTCTGTGGATGTGTTTTGTTTTTTTCAAGCTCCGAGGCATTTTAATTTGCCACTTTGAACTGTAGAATCAAACATGAACCTGCACTTTTTATTCAACAACCCCCAAAAATGGGGATGACAAACATTTTTTTTTTACATTATTCAAAAGTGGGCGAGTGAACATAACCCCCTCCCATCCCCCACTGGTTGACGCCCATGTTCTGGAACACTGTAGCATTTGCATATAAGGCCAAGTTCAAACACTGGCCATGGCTTGAAGTAACGTGCACCTATGGATGCCAACAGGGGAATGGCTACCCATAAAAGTGTGAGCTACACTAGTCGCAGCCAGTTTGATTTGGACATGGCTCACATCGGTGTGTGTTAATAAAGAGCAAAGGCTTCAGAAAGCTGCTGTTATACACTTATATCACACTTCAGTTTTTGCATTAAGTCTTAAAATTGCCACCTGAAAGCTGCAGGTGTTTCGTTTTTTTTACTTGTTTAGAGTTGTATCTTGATCAGGATTTTTTAAAACTTTCTTAAACATGCAACATTTTGCTGTGCTTCAGTTCAGAGGGTTTGATGATTTATGGAGAACTTTGATCACATTTCACTACTTTTGTGTACATCATTTGTAAACCGAGGATGAATGGCATTAAATCTGTCTCTCTAAAACAAACCACTTGATTGCCTACCCATTATCTTGACTCACCAAGTCTCCAAGAGAAGACGAAGGAATGTATGTCCACCCCTTGATTGGCTCTCCTAACTGCAAAGTATATACACATACATGCACAACAAACAATACTCCACTTTTTCATTGAAATTCTACAAACAAAATGTGACACTCCATACAAGTTGTTTTAATGAAGTCCTTGAAATGCACCACTGTGTCCTACGTAACTCAACTTCAAATTTTTGGTTTATTATTTTTATGGGCACTTTGTGTCTTGTTACATTCATGGAAATTTGCATATCCATGAGAACAAAAGTGATGTCATTAGGAATCAACCTGAATGTCAGTTATTTCCAATTGTGGCAGTTTTGCTATTTGGGGATTAGTCGTTTCAGTTGTTGACATTAGGGCTGGTCGATATTGCCAAATTTGGTTAAAAGTATTTCAATAAAAAACCATGCGATCAGAATATGAACAGAAAAATTCCGAAATGAAATGTCTTTGTGAAATGACACTAGAGCAACAGCTTCCCTCTACCAAGCTGTAACAGGTATCATCAAAGCTGTAACAGGTATCATCAGTTGCTCTGCCCTTTAGAAAGTGTAGTTGCAGTGATGAATTAATTTACTGATATCCCATGATACGATTGTAATCACTTGGAATCTTGAAGTTGTATGGATTGATGAAATAAGGGCGGTCTTTTGCTCTCAGGGTGTTCATATTGAACAATCCGAGAAGGGAGCCCGGCTTTCTCTTGGTAGGAACGACATCAGCAAGACAGAATGTGGTTCGTCTCAGTGTCAAGAGAGGAGTTTGTGTCACAGTAACATAGGACTGCTGTACATTGCTGTAATACATACGCAGGACCAGCCGATTGTTGAACATCGTCAGGAGCACAGGCAGAACCACCACTGCCATGGAGAGGGTAAGAAAGCTGAGGATCATCTCGTTGTTTACTGTGTCGTGCTCCAGGGCACTGGAGATCAGATCAGGGGACGCATAGAGTCCAGTCAGAGCGGTAACGTAGAACAACAAGGTGCAAAAGCGCATCATGCCTAAACTGCGAACCTCATAGATGAGGCGGCTTTCACTGTCCCCACCCATGGGTTGCCTACCAGACTGTTCCAATACTTGTTGCATCCGTTGAACATCTGTATCTTTTGGGGAGAACTGGCTCATCGCCCTGGTACACTGCACGATTACCTTTGAACCAAACAAAAAAGAGATATTTGGGTTATCCTGGTAGCTTTGAAAATGAGAACAAAATTGACAGTCATGTGATTGATTAAAATAAAATGGGGGAAAAATATGAAAGACTTACTCCATGCAGAGGAAATATTAAATGTTTAAACTAACGGAGAAAGAGAACAACATTTAATCCATCAATTTTCTTTTTCAACTTTAGCCTTCAACATAATTATTGACACAATGTTGCACAAAGCCCCCCTTAAATAATTGAAATTCAAACTTAAAAAATCCATAAACACAATTTTCACCAACTTGGAAAACTAGTAAGCCTAGGCCTATTGTCATTATTCATTATATATTGCTAACTTTAGTTAAACTAAAGGAAGTGTATATTTTGCTGGCGACAGCAAAAGTTTTTCCGAATGTATATAATATAGAAAATACCACCTTCAATCGAGCAATGCAGTGGCTAAATAGGATAAACGGAATGCCTGTGTGAGCGTGAGGTTCCAGGTTTAAAGCCCAGTGGGAATGTTTTCTTCTTTTTTTTTATTTCTTTTTCCCAGCACTGAGTATTTTTTTAAGTAATAAAAATCTGAAATTTAATTAAATTTACATCCATTTCTTTCTATATTTCGTGATTTTGGAAGATTTTTTAAACTTAAATGGAAATAGTCCGAAATTTCATAGATCTGATTTCCGCCCCCTACCATACGTTAATGAAAGTGCAGAACCAGACTAAGTAAAACGTCATAGTCTGATGACGTAATGAGAATTTGCCAATGAAAAGACGTCCCGGCAAAATATCGTTTCGGAGCTTTTGCTGTCACCGGCTAAATATCCACTGCCTAAACTAAACACTGACACTAGTTAAAGCCAGAACAATACAACACCAATGATCAGCTGGTGATTGTTTAGAACAGTGACAGAAACAGCCCTCATAAACTGATGTTAATATAATTGAGTTACCTCCATGGAATGGATGCACAACATTCTCTTCAAAGATTTCTCTGCAAACGCTCGTTCCATTCGTAAGACACTCACACTGTGCAACAGCCTATCACGACCGTTGTCATGGTTGTGCTTGTGGAAGTTGTGGAAAATGAAGTTCCTTCCCCAATGGAGTCTAAAGAGTCCCGGAAAACAACGTGTTCTAAAGGCCATTTTACGTAGATGCAGGAATTTCAACTTTATCATCCAAGAATGAGTGCAGACAGTCTTAATGCAACCATCGGGTCACAGGGAAACAGCACGGCCAAAATAAACTGCACTAGGCCTACGGTACGGCCAGGTGCGGGGAACTGCCATCTTGAAAACGGAACAGGCCTCGTTGCAAACACCGCCCTCTCTCGATGGCTTAAATAGTTATGTTCAGTAAATTTTATCCCCAACGAAGCCGCTCCCTCCCACCAGCTTAAAACGAAATTCCCAGAGAATATATTATTCAATATTGATCCGTTAATAACAAAACCCGCCCCACTATAACTTCCTTTTAAGTTATGGTTTCCACGAGGATTTCGCTTTAATTAAAGAAAGCAACAGAACTGATTTGGCGTGCACCAAATCTCTGAAAGGGTTATACTCCTTACAGAAGGTTAGGGCCTACCTCGATTTTATTTATGGCTGAAAACCGCCAAAAGGGTGATCCATTGCGCTTCAAGTTAACACTTTCTGTGACCACGGATCCAAATCACCTGGTTTGATTCTTCAAGAGATTTTTAGGCTTTCAAGGTTTCATTACTCTCTACGTTAGGATGAGTAAGGAAATCCAAGTCTGATGTGCTTTTCCTCTGAAAGGGAGTTTTGTGCTGTGGTTGTCGTACCCGTGTTGGAATCGATTGGTTAAATCAAGTTTACTTGAATGGAAAGAAATGAATAACTTTTGAAATAAGAATTCTGGAGCTGAGGAAACTTTCAAGTCCCGCTTGATCCTTGAGTGTAAGAGTATTTAGGTCTGTTAATATAAGGAATATCAGCAATGTCACCCAATATGAGCGCTAGAGCCGCGAGGTGCTTGAACTTCCCTGACCTTATGCTAACCCGAGAGACGGGTCAAGGTTCATTAAAATACAGGAAAGCACTAGGACAACAGTCCTGCACATTAATGAACCCAGCAAAAAAGCATTTGCGAGGTTATAAACACATATTTAATATTCATAGTCCAGTCTAGCATACATGTACAGCAAAATGCATAACACATTTTAATACTGCAACCTGTGCGATTCAATTACAGTTATTCACAAGCATGTTACATTTAATAACTCTTGAGAAAAGTTTGCAGATTATTTTATACATATCTCACTTCGTTAAAAGTATCATACAAATCTAATTCATATGCTCTGCATTTTATCTTATTCGGCTATTGCATAGGTGCAGCTGTGACTTGGTACAACCTTACTGAAATGAGCCACTCATTTTTTTCATACAACAAATAGTAGATTTCCAAACATTTCTTCAGACTTTGTACATTCAAAATCCATATTGAAATTAAAATGTGATTTTTTGAAAATTGTATTTGCTTATATTTTTGCTCGGTCAAATCTTGCACAACACAAGGTACTCGTAAAAAAAGAAAAGAAAAAGAAACTTTCAGGATGTTACATGACTGTAGTACTAATCGTAGCTTATGACTGCGGTTAACTGATTTGCGAAAAGAGGCGGACTGTAAACGTAAAAACCACTGCAGATCGATGAGTACCTAAGGGAACCCACACGCTCATAAATCTGTCTGCCAAACCGTGTTGATGATACGCAGTTGAGATCATCCGCCTGGCAATCAATTAGCGAATGCAAAATCGGTGAAGCTTTTTGAGGGAAGGCTTTAGTTTTTCCTCTCAGACGACAATAATCTGACGGGCTGCAGGAGCACACATGTGCTGTACATAATGAAAGTTTATTATTCGTAACCTCCGAAATACCAGGGGCTACGTGAGCACGAGACGCGGCGATGCATGAGTGCTTCGTCTGGTCATCGGCGGATTCAAAATCGGGAGATAGAATTTCCTGACCCAGTTCCTCCGCAGCTAACGCGCGCCCCCGGGGTTCAGTCCGGCCGGCTGAGCAGGGACTGAGCATGGGGTGTTCGAGGGCAAGGACGGTACATGAGGCTGCCTGACCGGGTCACAGCATTGATTATATCTTGGTATGGGCTATCGTGGAAATTATGCACGTGCACTTCACACGTGATTACACCGCATGTACACGTAAAACTAATCTTGGATAAGAAATGACTGCTTTCAAGATGCAGATGCTATGCAGTTGGTTTGCACTGTAAGTCTTGATATTGAATATCGGATAAATAATCACGTTGAATTGCCCTTCTGCCGACGTGTAGGTATTCGGTGAAGTTTCAACTGGAAACAACTTCAAACAATTTCTTTTGTTGCATATTAATTGCTAGCTGTTTTCTACCGTACAGTATACTTCTATACATAATGCATTCATGACATTCAACGATCCACCAAACAAAATCACAGGGATTTATTCAAGTGTTGTACAAATAGATTCTATTTACTGAGGAAAAAGACAGCTTTTGCAATGTCACGGTGGCTGTGCCGTGATACGCATGAACAGAATGAATCTACCACTCAGATAACGAAGTTTTATTCAGGCGTTCATTATTTCTAAACAACCCGTATATGCCTTTAAAAACTGTGGGTTAATACGTAAGACATCAATAAACTAGGCCTTCAAAAATGTCATGTTTAATACATGTGCACTCTCAATGACATCAAAAGGACATAAACACATTTATTGCAAATCCATTAATGGACCCGATAATCTACAAAGATGGTAGGTTCTTGGTATGTTATGAAATTTTGAACTAGGCTAAATGCTATCTTGAGTGGACGTGCGATTTTAATTTTGCAGACCGTGTTGACGTGCACGCGTCACGTAGTCCATCCCAAGAATGCTAAGCATATACTGTCTATTCGATCACAATGTGTGTACGTCACTACTCCTTAGTAATATTTATATATACATGTATGTATCGCTCTACCTTCTCCTGGCCAGGATTTTCTTTCCGGGTTGGGGGCGGGGGGACTTTTTACGGGGGGAGCGTCCCCTTTCCTTTATTCTATTTCGTGGTTTCGTTTACTTCGTCGTATTTTTCTTTATTTTTCTCGGGCTAATCTGTTCCAGATTTCTTTTTAAGGCATCAAATACCTTCCGATACAATTTTAATGAATCGGTGGTAATGGTCGTTTCCAATGGTGATTGAGACTGGACGCACAAAGTATTCCTGGTACTGTGATGAAATCGGCCCAGTGGCAATGGAGAGGAAGAGGACGCACTTTTTTCGGGAAGGCCAACATTTGAGCATTCTATATTTGATCTTTTGGGGGCTTACTAAGTCGCGGAGCCTCGGGGAGCCTCGGGGAGTCTTGGGGAGCCTTGGGGAGAAAATGAAAGGATGTTTTCCAAAAATCATCTTCATGATTTCACAATTTAAAAAAAAGGGCGGATTACCCCTTTTGCCCCTTCTTCAGCCCGCCAATGTATCTGCCCAAATCAGTCTCCTTCGCGTTTTTCTTGGTTATTGGAGTTTTCTAAATAAAAGTTGAAATCTTCGTACGAAGCAACTTTTATAGGAAGTTCAAAGAAGCTCCAGAGTTCTTTGCAGATCTAAGTTCCAGATTTTTTCAGTCTTCAATTATACACGAGAATTCACTTTCCGAGCACAGAAGCCTTCCTCTGAAACAACACTGAAAATTGCGACGGCATCTGTATCGGAAGTTTGGGAACAGGCCCGGAACAACTGTTTTTAGTGCACTGAACTTTTGCTCGCCCTCGTTTCAAATTGTGCTGCGTCACTGAATGACCCAATTGCAATGGTGTGTGTAGTTCTACAACTGCTTTCTGGACAAATCCCCTTAGTGCATGACTTGGTAGTAAATGCTGACACATAATTTGCGTTTTTTAGCACTGTCACTGACTCTCTTAGTGTGGGGGTCAAGTGGGCCCTTTCAAAAACCATTTCAATTCGCTTATTAGTGAAGCAGGTGAGAAAAATGGAATGGCAAGAACGGGGCTGGACTGACCACCGTAGGCCTTCCGCCGATACAAGGCCCCACTACCAGTAATTATTTCCTAGCGCAGTTAAGAATTGCATGGAGCTTTGCACGAGCTGCATGTTGCTGTTAAGTTAAATTATAATGTGAAGCACTCGATCCGACTACCCACCGCTGTTAGTGTTAATAAACAAGGTTTTTCTTCTGAAATTTGGCACAGTTCGAAGGGTACTGGTAATACATTATAATAGGCAGCCGAATTTATGTAACAGTATCAACAAGACTGCGTGGAGTTGTGAGTCCAAAACAAGGAAAAAGGGTGGCTATTCGAACTGACGCGTATAATACATGTACATGTATAATGCATATAGTGGAGGAAATAGGTTGTCCGTGGTTCAAATTCTAAAGGTTGCTTTTTTCTATTTAAAGTTTTTTCAATCTATTTCCTGTTGGAGACAATAATTTTTAGAAAGGTTATTTAAACGTAACGTCCAAATTTGTAACCTTCAAGTTTGTTTTATTCGAGGGAAAACAGCTCAGCCCAACGCGTTATCGACTTCAAGGGATCTCCACTAGCATCACCCACGTCACAGAATACAATAATATATTACGTCCATGTTTCGTTATTGGCATTATACCGTAAAAGTCTCGTTTATTAACGGTACAGCGAGTAGAGACATCGGGTCAGTCGTTTGAAGTTCTCCTGATATCAAAAATTAAATGAAAGCTGTCAAAAGTTTTTTAAAAGTGATTTTTGAGACACTGCGATATCATTTCAGCCCTCATATGACGCGCAGGCACGAGTCGTTGCCATTTCACTGATTATTCCGTTACTGTGTCTGTTGTGGGTGAAATTAAGTTTAAATCATATTCATGTTGAAATGATAATACGTACGTATTTCAGTCCACTGTTTTTGATACGGTGCAAATTTAATCTATGAAATCTGGCTCTTGTAAATTACATCTTTACTGCGTATTTACTTAACCTGTATCTTTACCGCACAACTACACGGTCTTAACGTTTCCCTCAATGACCACTGACATTTTTTTACCCAAAGTCGCTGTTGGCTTTGACAGTGCATAATTGACAAATTAAAAAAAATTCACGGTTGATCAGATTACTACGAGTTCCATTGAACAAAAACTGTTTCTAACCTTGAAGTCTTCATGAGGAACACAATAGCAAGGTTAATGAAAGGTCAATAATTTTCACACGACCTTGGTCTTACAGCACTGCATAAACACGATTGTGAAGCGCTGGAATTCAGAGTTTTCACAAGGACTGTTGAACAATGATACATGCACTCGACTAATTCTCAATACAGGTCACCAAATTTCGTCACAAAAATTGTTGTCATAGACTGCCGCACACACTCGCCGAACAATGATGGCCAGAACACACAGCAACAAGGCACAGTTCCACAGGTTCGTTCTAAAGCTTTTGATTACAAAGGGATTATTCTCTTCTGAGACCTCATTCTCTTTGGGGAAGTTTATGAGTCCCTCTGAATCTCAAGTTGGAATAGCCTGTCCTGAGAATTTCCTATTTCAGGGACTAATTGTTAAAACGCTTAGAAAAAAATCAAGAAAAGGTCGATCCTTTTCTATTTTCGGTTCTCCCGTGTATGTATCCAGCTTATATACATGTACACACGGTTTATCGCACGTCGGGAGTCCATTAACTTTTACCCTTTCCCTTTTGCAACATGAACCGGACTTGTCATTCCTCGGAAGCCAAGTTGACACGGGATACCCGGGGTTGTACCGGGGTTATCGGTCAGAGATTGAAAGGCAATGCCGGTCTGCAGTTGTGAATGATTCCTGTATGTTCCGATTGGAATCTTGACTATTCACACATCTACAAGTAAACGATGTGGATACCAGGCCCCTTCCTATTCCGTGACTCCTTTTCAATCAGCGAAGTGTTTTCACTGCGCTGAAGTGATTTCTTTCAACAAAGAACTTTAAAGGGCTGAATATTTATTTCATATTTTTCTAGAGGGCCCGAAAGACAAGTTGACATCACAGTCAGTCTAGAAAACTCGAATTTTACTAAATTTAATCCACATTGCAATTTTCTGTGATTATTGTGTGGTTTGTTGCATTTTACTCTTTTTACGTCACGACGTAGTTGCAATGTCGAGCAGTAATGTAGCAGTAAATCTCAAGTGTGGTGGGGAAAGTATGGTTACACGTTTGCATCTGTTCATACTGTGATAGCATTAGGCTACTAGTACTTTTCTCTACAAAATAGGAGCAGCGAGGGGTTAAGTAAGACTAATATTTCAAGTGTAACTGCAATCAATTTTTTTTAAATATATCCCTTCAGAATGCACTTCTGTGTCTCAGTTAACCTCTTCTCAACTTTTGTTTCACTATTTCAAAGGGTATTTTTTATGCTAATGAGTATTTCCATGTTCATACGAGCAAAATTGTGATGTCATCTCAGGAAGAAGTCTATATGTTACATTGGTCTGTACACAAAATGTCCTTCATTTTTGTACATTTTCCTCGACTCAGTTTTCTCTTCATTGCTGAGTCCTTGATAATTATGTGTATAGTAATAAGGAAGCATCAATTCCTCTCTCAGAAATGTTTCCAGTTAGTACATTCTGGGTTCACAATTTGAACAGAAACACGTATGTGCTGAACCATGTCTTCCCTAGATGACTTCACAGCAACAGCACCCGTACCCTCAGTACATCCGGCAAAGCATCGGTAAATTTCATTGTTTAAAAGCATGCACTTTTCAATGTATTTAACCAAAATTAACGGAAGGCAAGAGAGTATTCATACATTGAAGAAGACAAAGTTGAAGAAAAATTGTGTCTACTAAAAATAAATTACACTTTCGAAGAACAAGCTATAATGTCAATTCTTTACCCTGGGCAACAGGTCGTGTAACAAGTAACTGAATCTGAAAAATATTATGAACGCTCACAAAATTCTAGCGTCTGAAACTATAAAGTGAAATAATGAAGTGGTAGAATTCATGTCAGTCTATCAGAGTGCAATACAAAGCATGTTTTACTCCCTTATTTCAACCACAAAGACAACTATCGTCTGTAATTATGTATAAAACTACATCCGTTGAACTTTTTAAGCATGCGTGTATTGAACACACTGAGTCAGCAAGTTTAAGTGACAACCGTTTGTGGACCACTGATCCATCTGTATATTAAAAAATAAACCCTGGGTACTACGCAAAATCAGCTGGTAGTGGACAAAATAGTCGCCCATCGAACTTTCCATGCACACTTGTCCACTATTACTATGCACACTGCCGGTTATACCTTCTCTGGGAAGTCGTGGTTCTCTGCCCTTAGGGGCCATCCATAAAGTAAGCACGAAATGTCGACTTTTCAGATCCGTCCCCTTGTACACATATTTGAAATTGAATTGTTTTTCGACGCACAGAGGCCGATTCTGGTATTTATTTGTGTGAGACAGTGTATTGAAGATTCAGTAAAGGCAAACTTTCGGTTTGCTTACGGTACGCTCGTGCGCACTGTACGCATGGTGTAGTAGGCAAAGGCAACAACCCCCCTCCCCATCGTGTGTTTATGGACGATCCCTTACGCACATCGAAGAGAGGTCTGCGTGGGAGGGAAACCTCTCAGGCCTTGACCGACTCGCATCACAGTGATGTGATCAGGGGCGTAGCAACCGGGGGATATCGGGGGGGGGGGGAGTGCGGCACCCCCCATAATTAATTCCATCCGGGTCAGCAAATAGAGCTTCGATCGGCAAATGAATCTAAACTTGGTACATGAACAATAAAAGTTGGCCGTCAGTATGGTCCGTGAAGCGTGAAATGTGGATTTCCATTTTACACGACACGACGTTGGCAAACAACTTACAAGTCGGCAAATTGACTCAGGCACACACCCCCAAGCAAATGCCTTCGCTACGCCCTAGATCCGACCGGGAGGAAATGCCCCGCTTACGAAAATGTATGGAATTTCATAGCGTAGGCCTAATCGTCAATGTTTTGTTGTGTCTGTGTGTGAATTTGATGCAATGCAAGCGACATACTAGTCATGTCGAAGTAGGTCTACAGTTAAGACTATGAAATTCAGTTTTAGGCACAGCATCCTCGTTTAGGTGCCGAATGTAAAGCCCTGGTCATGCACGTACGTAAGCGATATGATGCAAGAGCATGTATGTTGGCAGTGCTTTCTAACTCAGGCTGTATTTTTAGCAATGGGGGCTACGGCCTATGCGTCGTCAGGTCAGGCAATCAGACTGCCGAAGTGACTTCATTTTGAACCAGAAAGTGCAGTACAAATTGAGTACGTGCGCGTGTTGGTTCACACGCTGGTTCTCGCGCTAATGCCTCCCATCACATGTGCGCGTGACGTAGTGACCTCGGTACTCAGTGGCCTGTCGGTCCAAGGTTGGTGTAAGGCCGGAAGTGTGTGTTGGACCACCTTTCCATGGGCAAGTACGCTCTTTTGTCCGTTCTGCATCTTTTGCGGCGTTTCAATTGTGTACTGTTTCAATGAACACTCGTCAACTTACGCTTACGGACACAAGGCGCACAAAACGCGTTTGAATGTCTGAGTATCATCGGTTGTTCAACGGAACTCAAGCGCACGTGCGGCTCCGAAACAACATTGACAAATGTGCGTTAGGCTAAACATGCGGAATCACGACTAAACATCATTTTGCTACGCATGGATAACAAAATTAACTGACCCCACATAAGAGGTCATAACTTGGACTCTGATGCACTGGACAATTTTATATTCCTCATCCATAATGTAATGTGTCAACCCATCCTCCATGGTTAACCTAATGCACTAGTAAGAGCAACACTGAGCAGGAGACACTGATGTAAATTATTGTCATATGTTATGAGGTCACATGCATCATCTCACGTACGCGTAGAGCACATTCGCCACTCACATCTACATGTCACTGCTTCCTTCCCCTGCATAGTCTCTGAACATCATTTGGGTATCGGGTGTAGGGATGGGAACCAGTCAAAACATCGGCGAACTTGCCCTTAGCACGTTTACTTTTTCGGTTAAGCAAGTAAAGGGTGTGCGCAGTGTTGCATGACTACACCTTAGCTTAAATAAGCGTGCGCCATGCATATGCATTCGGCTCCTTACAAAAGAAATCTTGTTGCCAAGTTTTGACTTACTGAAGACCTGGGTTACATCATATTTGCATAGGATTACATATTAACTTGAATTTTGCAATTTCATGTAAACCAGATTATTCCAGACTTTTATGCAAGACAAGGCAGTGAAATGCAAAAAATATGGGCCATACAATTATAAACATGGTTATCAAAAGCACAGCCAGTATGCCCATTTGTACGTTTCACCACAAGATTCAACTTTTCAAAAAAGACCCTTGATAAATAGTCCAAACTTTGGTAAACATTTTTCCAATTTGGTATTGTATCATGGATTGGAGGACAAAAATGCATTTTATGCATAACCCTATGGGATAAGTAAACAGGTGAACAAAACTGCTTACCAAGTACTTGAAATGAGAGAGCTAGGAAAAGTTTAAATCAAGTCATCGTTTTTTCATATAGTACATGTAGTCTAATCTTAAATCCCACGAACAAACAGACATTTAAGCAATACCCTCCTCAAACATCTGTTTTGTCTAGAGCTATGTAACTGTGAATGTCAACGCCAGTAAGTAGTACTGGGCTACTATGATTATAAAGCTCGTTTCTCTGGATTGACCAATCATGTTGTTTTAGCCGAGTGATTGATTCTCTTGTAAAACTTCGACAAAATTGTTTAAACATATATAAATAGCTGTATACATTTCATGTTTCTGTTTCCTTGTGAGCTTTGAAACTTCCTTTTTATTTTATAAAATGCTTCTTGCATACACGTACATGACTCAGCAGGCACTCACAACTCTGAGAGAGAACAATATTAGACTGGTTCACTTTCCCCATGGCTTTATGCATGAAACCTAGGCTTGTTCATCCAATCCCATGATGCAATTAAAACTGTCAACAGGTTTACATGTGTGTGGTTCAGCCATCAATTGCAAGAAGTCATGTACACCGGGACTTTTACATACGATTTATGTTTCATACAAAGCCCAACATTTAGTGTTTGCTAAATTCCTCTATATGGAAAGCACAACTGCTTTCACAAAGTATTTGATTTTACTTTGATGTTTTAGAAGCACCCTGGACTGTGTTTCCCCATACATGCCATAGAGTCAGTTGAACAATTCATGTGAAATTAAAGTCAAGCACACCCAGCCTCTTTTGTCACAAGTGGACTGTTACTAACATGAAGCTAGCTGCATCCCTAACCCCAAGGATGAAAAATGTGAATAAAACTGCATTTTGCATTCAATGTGCAAGCTGGCTACAAATAATCATTAAAAATGAGCGCATATTTATGAAAAAATAACTATATGAAACAACTAGTTGGGTTTCCAAAATTAGCTTTGCCAAAAATGTAAACTTTTCAGTTATATAGTTACACTTAATTTACACATACTTTGTACAATGTACTACACATGCAACATATGTATGGTAGTGAAAAGTCAAGATTTTAAGCGAAGGGCGCCCCCAAGGGTGATTCAACGACGCCCTCCCCCATCGACTTGACTTTCACAAAAAATGCGTCCACAGGAACGTGTTTTCGCTATCGATAATATCGCCCTGTGAATGGCACACAAGAGCATAATTTTTACCAAAGTTGTTGTCCCAGTAATCTTGGTTCCCCGCCGTGTAGCATATGCAGAATTCCAGGCGATCCCCAACTGCCATGTCCCGTGGTGCTGTCAGGCCGAAAGAAAATCGATCAGTAGGCCCATCGCAAGAGTTCTGCACGTACGATGCCGGGATGTCCCCGAAGCTGTTCCAACCGTCGGCCGAGTATCTTACCTTTACTATCTTGTGATAGGAGAGGTTCTGTACCTTGATCGTTCCCAGAACCGTGAAATCAGAAAGGACAGCATTTTCCAAGCAGACGCTCTGCTGGTTCACGCGGGTGACGAAGTCTGGTTGACCCCCCGGTTGAACGAAGGACATGGAAAGATAGCGGGGCTGGATCGCCTGCAGGGCCGGTGAGCCGGATGCACCGTCAAGACCCACAGCCACCGCGCAGGCAGCAGCGGCCATCGACGGGTAGTCGGGCGGCGATTCGGACTCCAAAATGTCTCGAACTGTCTCCAGATCAAGGCCCAGTGCATCGGCAAACCGCACAGACTTTCCTCCCGGGGTCTCAGGGGTCTTGGTGACATCTTTGATGGAGGACTTTCGTCTCAAGATGCCCCCATCAGTTGTATCCGTGGAAGATGCCACGCTGGCCGGAGATGTGACAGTTGGGGAAGTGATGCTGTCCTCGGAGGAGACGAATTGGGGGGACCCTGGCTCTCCCTGTGAAGTTTTCTCACATGGAACTTCACAACACCGGTCCTCCGAGCTACCAGAATCACAGTCACAATCGTCATCTTCCCTTGAGCTGGCGGAGCGAGCAATGGCGATATCAATCGGAGGCGGTCTCGACACATTTTTCATCCTCCCAGATTTCACACTGGTGGTTTCCATCTCAGATACGGTTGTTGTTCCATTCCAGACGGTATCACCGTTCGTCAGGGTTTTTGCGGTCATTTTGCGCGGTGCGAACGGGAATCCGTTTATATGCGTAAATTCCTCACAACGCACGCGGTCAGGCGACCCTGCCGATCTTGCGAGCATGTTCTAGAGCAGGTGCCCTCGTCGGCTGAGTGCAGTACTAGTGCGTGAACATGTAATGTCATCACACTGCGTCTGTCAGACACGTACCTCGCTCTACGCGCACAACTGCACGTAGCCGTAATAATTGACCAGCTACGTCACCGTACCCGACTGTACTGTCTGCAGGCATGCAGTGCGACGACGATCTGGCCCGATGTTAAATCAAGTAGGTATTATGGTACGCTGTACGACAGTACAGCGGTGATATGAGCTGTGAACAGTGCGATATTGTGGCTGGTAATCCACGTGATCAAAACATGACCTCGTTTGCGACGCTTTAGTGCGTAGGCCTACGATATGTACCATGCGTGACGATTTTATTGTGCTGATGTAACCTGCAGAATTCGTCTTCGTGCTGATGATCATAGATGCATTACACAAGTTTTACACTACCTTCACGAGGCAAGTGCATGCACACTATATAAAGTTCACCCTTCCCCGTTCAGTGACACGAAGAAGCATGCTGCCAGTTGAAGCCTTCAAGTTCATCACACAGTGTCATGTTGCAGTTCCATCCCCGTCTGAAACGGTTAAATTCCGTGATGAGGCCGAGGGTCAGGTCCGGTTTTCATGTTGAAGTTCCAACGCTTTGATTTTGCCGACTGCTTGCAGGTTGCAGTATTTACTTCCTGGTTTTTACATGTCACTACCTCATGGTATTTCAATGCATGTGGGTGTGTCGAGTAGGCCCCATTTTAATCGCGGTTTTATCTGTTTAATTCCAGACACCATCATGCTAGGCTGAGAGCATGGCATTACTTGCGTTGAGAATGATTCAGTGTTTTAGCTTAATGCTTGAAACGCGTACCATCGTACTATCAGATTCAACACAAGGACTGACGAGTTTGACTTCTGAAGCAGAAGGCTTTTGTAATGTCGGCATTCTTATTCCTTGTACTCGAACCATGGAGGTAGGGCTCGAACTAAACATTTTGCGCAGGTATTGTCAAGCTGTCACTGTTGACATATCACCGTGACACGTCGGTGAACTCACCAGGAAATTGCGCCCACTTGATAAATAACAGAGCGCATAGTACGGGAGTACGCATCTCAGTCACCAGCTTTTACAAGATACCAACCAAAGTGCATTACACAATAAAAAAGTGTAGTTACAGAATCCAAATTGTCACAGCATGGTGGCGGTGGAGGAGCGGGGAAGGGGCAGCTGGGCATGCTTCAAGTATTTTGGGAACCTTTCCTTTGAAAACGACACAAATGTAACACGACTGAAAACTATAAACTGGTCGTCCTGGCCCATACACATACGGAACGATACAGACTCTCAAACGGTGTTGACAATGACAGACGAAATTTGGTCAAAATTATGAAACTGAACCGAAGGTTTTTGTTTTTCTAAAACCGTGCCTTATAAGCCTATAAAGCTTTACACAGCTAAATGAGTTGGTGAAATCGTCTTGGCCCATAGGCAAAATTATAAGAGACGGTGGCATATTACAATAAAATGTTACAAATCAAACTCACACGTTAAACAGAAATCCTGTAGGCCTACAATAGATTAAAAGGGCAACGAATTAAACAAAAGTTAATCTACACAAACATCAGTGTGAACAAAGGATTGTACAGCAAGGGAAAACAATAGGTCTATGATGGTAGAATACAGACAATAAAACGTACACTCGGTCAACATTTAAAATGTTTGTTTGAACCTCTCAATTCTGACAACGAGTTATTCATAGACGGCTGGCATTCCCTTATATGCCTACCATGGCATACTAACCGCGTGGAAGGAAGCAGATGAGATGTTATGAAATCGTTGCTTATAGTAAGCAAAGTTTACTTGGTGTTCTATTCTTTTTTCTTTTCTAAGAGTATCCGGCCCGCATTGATTGAGTGCATCCACATGTATGTGAAATCTTAACTGATTACTCATACAAGCTCGTTTCTGCGGGCAGGTTCAATCAGCGACAAATTGTCGACCGTGGTCGACGGTGAATGGTAACTTATTCATTAAATATAGACCGGGCACCAGGGAAAATCGACAAGTGGTTCATAGAATTGTCGGGGATCGAACTTGCCCACGATGAAATCTGCCCTTTTGTCAAACTGGAATGTCACATCACCTTCACATTTTATCCGTGGGTGTGGCGTAATTCTTGCAAAACAACCAACATCATGGCCAAAAACCTTTTTTGTAATCGCAACATAAAGAGTCGTTTGCTTGCTTGTTTGTCTTTTTTGTTTTGCAGACATTTTTTCTCCTTAAAAGGTTATAGTTACCTTTGAACACGTGTCTATTTATGTTGTGTGGATAATGTTGGTGTGTGTTCGAATGTGGCATCCGCACGGGTCCAAAGAGGTCGCTATTTAAAACGGGCTGGTATACAAGTTTGCCGGTATGCTTGTAGCCTTGAAAAGATTTTTTTTTTCAAGTTAACAGCTCAGAATAATAATAAACTATGAAATTTCGAAAGTACAAGCGAAATTACGCCTTTAGTATAAAAAGTGTGACTGCTCATTTTTTTAAGTCAATATTTCTGAAAGTAATTTCAAATCGTGAAATGCGTTGTATGATTTCAAGTTTATTTTATCCCATAAATCCCTCTTTACAGCCCAACAAATTTATTGTGGCGCTTGTGTGGTTGGGTGAGGGGGATGGAATGTGTTGTTCGACATTTTTCTTTCATGACAAAGAATGAGGTTGGAGGCAAAGGCTGATGCGGTTGCAAAAGTAAGAGGCGTGGCAAGAAAATGGCCGTGGGATTGGATGGTACCTGGCTATGGGAGAGTTCCTCAGCAGTTGCCGTGTGGTCACACCACAGAGCAAGAACTCACGAGAGCGTGCACCTGCACTTGCGACGGCGGGTTTTCTGGGACGAGTTTGCCTCATCGGTCGAAGTGGTTGATAGCCGGATCAAATTTCTCTGCCTCGCGTTCGCCGTGGATGGCTGCTTCTTTTCGAGGATCTTCATGGCTGTAGTGAAAGTTTGCCCCCCCCCGATCATGGTTTTAAAATAAGCAAGAAACCAGGTCCAAGGAAATTTCACGCGGTATTGCACCGGTCAATAAAGTGGAAAGGTCATGCTTGATTACCGGGACACAATTTGAGATCAGTGCTCTTTTTAAGAGTTACAAAATTAAATGATCTGATTGTCACCGAATTTGTTGATACTTTGTGAAAACCAGGAAAGGATAACTATCAGTATCAATAACTAAATCGGAAAGTGGAAGTTTTTTAGGGGAATGTTGGAAGTGTTTAATACGACTCTAATAGCCACAGTACAGCTATGAAAACAATACCTGCTAAATATATATATATCTCCCAGTACTTCACAAACATACCCCTTCTATCGACAAAATTGTCATTCGGTGTACAAAGTTACTTGAATGCTATTAGATTTCGTGCTCAAATATCACTATGAAGAAAATGTAAGTGGAGGTTAAGACGTACCAAGTTGTACAAGGACACTTTCCACGTTTTGACCCGTTTTGGCGCTCGTTTCTATGAAGGTGGCATTCAGGAATTCGGCGTAATTCCTTCCCACCTCGGCAGGCACGACCCTTGTCTCGTCCAGGTCCAGTTTGTTGCCAACCACAACTAGGGACACGTCTGAGTCGGTATTCGCTCGTAGGGCAGGAACCCACACTTCCGTTAAACTTTGAAAACTTTGCTGGTGAAGATGTTGAAGTATGATAGGATGCCATGATGGGAAAAAGACAGTTTAGATACACGATGGCACATTGTCGTTGAATTTGGTAACAGATTAAAGTAAACTAAGTTGAGCTTTCACCCTCTCTCCAGTTCTTGGTCTAGAGGTATGTCAGAACGCCCATTCTCTGGTCCTAGTTTCCCCAAAGAATCAAGTATCTACCAGTCTATTAAGACTCAGAAATTTAGTCTAGAGTCCCCAAAACAGCATTGTAATATTGCTTGAAATTAGGACCGACCCACCGGAGCATGCACCCCAAGCTGTGACCTCACTATCCGATGATTAAGGTTGTGTCCTAAGCCCCATCTACGGTCTTCGGTTGTCAGCACAGGAATCACTGGAGCCAGTGTGTGCATTTGAGGGGCAAATTACGAAAGTAAACTCACTACTTTAGTGATGTCGTAGACCAGAACAATTCCAGATGCACCTCTGTAGTACAGCGGTGCCAAGGCACGAAACTGTTCAAGAGAAAAGGACAAGAGTGCGCGTGAGAACCGAAATAAATTTTGGGACTCTCTCCCCCTCTTTTAAATAGGGGTATATAAGCGCCCCTAAAATCCCCATTGACATGTGTATGCAGCACAGCACCGTGCACTATAAAACTGTATTAGTGTTAGCCGTTTCAACTTTAAGGACACTTTTATGGATAGCCTGCTTTAAATTGTTTCTTGTTCCCCAGTTTCATTTTAAAAATACGCCACAGCGCAGACACAGTGGACACAAAGCAGTGCTTGACTTGGGACGTTTGGTATGATGATGTTACTTTTTCCTGACTCTCTTCCATTTTACAACTCTTACTATTCCCACCTTTTCACCTCCGGCTGTGTCCCATATACAAACTTTCACGGCGTCTCCGTTCACGCACAGTTTCTTGTCAAAGTAGGCGGCTCTAATGTAGACAAACCAAACATGTTCAATTCAGTCACTCAACTTGGCCATTGTACACTGGCATGAAGCGTGTGCGCTACACTGTAAGAAAGTGTAATATTCACCCAAAGAAAGTCGAGTCACTCCATCTGCGCTGTTGGGCTTTCATTGCCCAATAGTTGGATTATTTTACCAACATTTAGTTCTGCAGGTTAAGACCAATGAAGTGGTATTGCCCAACTTTTTTGACCCAACTTTTATACAGTGGACATGCAACTTCACAATGTTCTCACCACAGGTGCAGCGAATGGTTGCTCAGTCTAGACCATGGGCGTGCCTAGGGTCTTTTTTAGGGAGTAAACCACCTTTTTCGGTGGGGAGGGGAATTCCGGGTGGGGACAAAGCACTCATCAGCTACGAACTAATAAATCATTAACAGTGGGCGGGATCCATTTTGAAGGTTCATTTTTTATCCAAGCAAATTTGTGATTTTAATCCTATTTCATTTCCTTTTTTTTCCATTTCTTCCGCTTTCCCTTTCTTTCCTTTTTCTTTGAAATCTCTTCCCTTCAAATTATCATTCACATGCACACTCACGCTATGGTGTTGGTTATATTGTCGTCGAAGGTTTCACTCACAAATCTATGGGCTATGCTTGACTTGCCCACTCCACTGTTCTGCGAATCAAAATGAACCGAATGTGATACCCTGCATTGAAATGAACGATTGCATTCTGATGTAGAAACCCCGCTCGCCCTCCTCGAAATGATGTTTTTCCTTTCCCCAAGTTCTTCACTAAATGACATTGACCAACATTTCCTTGTCACTGTTTATCCACTGACATTTGTGATCTCTACTTGTGAATTAATATGATTGACTTGTGATACGACTTGTGACGAATTCCACTGAAAAACTGAATTTTGTCTTTGTATATATAGCCTGCTGCATGCATGTTCTACTCACCCCTATCAGGCAGATTTTAACTCCGTTTCCGGTTTTGGTCGACATACTTGTAAACGACGACTCGGGGTCGGTCCCACCGAAAAGTTCCTCTAGAATATTGTGGTATCAGAACCATATTTTGCTGCCTTGTTTGTATAGTCTATAGTGTTTATACTCCAGTGTTCTTTTAACGGGACATCCAGAGTGGAGAATTCCGACATGTTATAAAATTCCCAAGTTTGGCGACATGAAAATGGATTGTTGTATTTCAGTAAATAAATTCAGTATGTGGTAATTTGCTGTCGTTGTGCTAAAAATAGCCCACACGGAACACTGTTGGTAAATCATGGGCAGAAGTCCAATCCATGTAATATATCATCTCTGTCAACATCCTACATGCACTTTGAGCATACACTCGCTGGTTCTCTGCAAGCATCGTAACAAGCAAAAGATTTCAGTCTGGTTCCCACTCAATAAATTCAAATTAATTGAGTAATTTATACACATCTGGTGAATTATCACATCCGGGAATCACACAAACGAATTTCATAGTCCTACGTTAATTTAGAAGCATAGATGACGCAACTGATGAGAGACCAGGAAGGAATTAAGCTAGTCCTTTTGGTGTGGAGTCACCATTTGTTCAAAATGTTCCTGGCAAGCTTTGAAATTGATTAACGCACATACAAGTCCCATTGGGCCTGATTCTGAGTCACTGTCAGTGGTTTCATAATATATGTCTTTAATATCATAAACACAAAAGCCGATATTAAAGTCGCCGCGGGCTCTACAATGTATGGGTAAGTGGCGACACAAAAATGATAAAGAAAATAAACCCTCTCCTCTGTGACCGAGCATCACAAGAAATTGCGCGGTAAGAAAGGGACTTGTTGCGTTGGCGGTAAACTTTCCAGACTTTGCTAAATAATCCCACTTGTAGGCATGATTATGGAATGGCCCAGGGCTTCCCAGTATTTCTTGCCAACAGCACGAGAAAAGGGGGGGTGTAGACATAAGAGGCACTCTTCAAACTATCACGCACCATTATCATTATCGCAACTCCATTTGTGTCCATTCTTTGAACTTTGTACTGTTCACTTGACACTAAATTTACACGGCAGGAAAGATTTTGCAAAGATCAACCCATCCACAGGCACTTTAAATAAGCTGGGAGCAATGCCAGTGGTACCTTGGCCCGTGTGGCGAAAAGATGTCCAATTTCGATCAGCGGCCATTTTGTCAACACTGATAAATTGACCTGGCACCCATGTTATATGTTACGCATACCTATTACCAGGAACAATCGACCAGTGGTTGAATGCTTGCTGATTGAACTGCACCTGTTCAGGGCATGACCTCCATTCTCCATCTGACGTTACATCCGCACATTTTTTATTTACTTTGTTTGTGAAATATTTAGACACGTAATCTACTATAAAAAGACATATTTACAAAAGCTCAATTAGTCGTACTTAATTTTAAATACAATTTAAAATTGGACCTCGAGATAAAAAAGAGATGATTTAGGGAGACAAACAAAATGGGCCGCAGAGGCACAGGCAGAATTATCTAAACAACAGCGCTGTAACTTTGAGAGAACTTGAAGTTCACCTCACTGAATATAATGTTGTAACACGCTCAGTGGATACTAAAAATACAAGAAACCTAATGTTAATTCCTAGCAGGGAACAAGAAACTGTACCCGTCATTATTCACAGCAATAAATTTATCAACAAAGTGTTTTGAACAGGTCGCATCAGGTCTGCTGAAGTCGAAAACATCATTACCCCCCTTTTACTAGGAACCCCCCCCACAAAATCCGCAGAATGTTAAATAAACCACCATTGTTAAACGATCGCAAGGCACATCTAACAACTATACAAACAACAACCCTACATGTCAAAGTGGATGATACACAGTTGTCCAGTTACACAAGAAATAAAATCCACGACCAACTATAAAAATGACTGGCATATCGCCACTCACCATCACAGCGCCTTAAAACCAAACACACTAGCGGATCCAGGAGAGGCAACGGAGGCCATGTTTCCAGCAAATTGTTTTTCATGTGTAAAATAATAATGAGAAAATGGCTTTCCACTTCCCTTCCTTCCAATGCGTGGAGGAAAGCCCCCAAATTTACCCTCATTCCACAGAAAAGCCATTAAAAAGTTGCAGGAGAATTTCTTTTTAATTTTTGCCCCCCCCCAAAAAAACTTTGCCCCTCCTAAATTTTGGTTCCAAACTCCAACCTCGACCATGTATGCAAAATAAAAGCAAATTATCGTGAGTGCAACACGAACTCTAATATAAAATAAACAACTGGACAGGTATGAAATTGTCTTTCACGATTTTTCCTTCAAAAATCCACTTTAGAGCCAATGGCCTGGGCCCAGTGATAAACACATTATAACCCCTTTTTATCCAACAATTGAAGCTTAGGTAGCTTAGGTAGGGTCTAACGATGTTAGACCCTACTGTCGACAGAATGAATACACCTCACAAGGCAAGCTCATCATTCCAACAGCTCACCCCAATGAAATGTCAGATTTCAGACGGATGCGGTATCGACTTTAAAAATGCGCCCAATTAAATAGATGACCACTGTTAGTTGCATTTACAGTTCGACTTTTTCTTCTTTTGGATTGCGCCAGGGGTCCCGTCTGGAGCGATGCCACTCCCGTTTGGCGATGGACCAGGTTTGACCGAGTCACTAGCTTCCATGCCGCCGGGTAGTTTGATCACATTCGTGGGTTTCTCGTCTTCTGCAGCAGCTGACTTTTTCAAAGTCCTAATCTTCTTGACTGTAATAAGAAGAAGGAAGAGATGAACGATTCAATAACGGCAAGAAAGGGAAACCCGGTAAGCCTTGGAAACAGAACATACTTGTTGAGGCAAATGTCCACACCCAATCTACCCTGAAATCAACTTGCTCTATGAACAGAGCATCTGAAACGGGAAAAATACCCCAACCAAGGTCTACGCATTAAGTCACAACTTACATGTACAAATGTCACGTACCAAGTTCAACAAATATTCTGTCCACGTTGTGACCCGTCTTGGCGCTCGCTTCTAAGAAGATAGCGTCCAGAAAATCGGCGTAGCCCCGTGCCTCCTCGGCAGGGATGACCCGTCCCGTCTCTTCAAGGTCCAGTTTGTTGCCCACCAGGACCAGTACCAGGTCTGACTTGGTGCATGCCCGTAGAGCTGGAACCCACACGGTCCGTAGGCTTTGGAAAGATTTCTGGAGTTTGGCAAAGGCGGGTACAGTTAAAACACGCGATGGGGGGGGGCAAGAAATGAGAGAGAAAGCAATAGTTACCTAACTGACGTAAAACAAAAAGTGTTGTTAAAAGTGAGTTGGTCGATTTTTACGATGGTTTTATCTTTTCCCTGCAATCTTATACGAGTTAGCTGCTACAGGTGATCTCACATCCTTACTACACTGCGAGTCTATTCCTAACAGTGTCAATAAATAGGGTCAACATAAAAAGACAGGCAAAGTCGCAGCGGCGATTGATGAAGGGAAAATCTTGATTTTATTTTCAGATTTAAACTTACTTCGTTAGTGATGTCATAGACAAGAACAATGCCTGATGCATCTCTGTAGTACAACGGCGCCAGGGCTCGAAACTGTCAGAAGAAACACGTAAATAACAGTTCCACATACTGTAACTTATAGCATAAAGTTTTCTTCAGAGAAGAGTTTTCTATAGAAAACAATTATGTTTTCTATAGAAAACTGTTATCTGAAGAAGATCGTAAGGTCATTTTGATATTTCCTATATCATTTTGGTGGCAGTTCAATTCATTCCGTGGGCAAATATTGTTGGTGTTCAGATTTCATTGTACCCACCCTCTCTTGCCCGGCCGTGTCCCATATGTTCACATTTACGGTGTCTCCATCCACGTTCAGCTCTTTGTGCAAATAGGCACTCCTGTCCAGTAGAAAAGAAGAGAAAAGAACAAGCATAAACTGTAGGTGATTGTGACGAGATGATAACATATCCTCCAAATCTCTTGTACTAAAAATACCTTTTTTTCAAAATTTGTAATTGACTTATACCGGGCCTTACCGGCTGCTTCTTGTATCTGTTTCACTATTGAAATATAGACAATTCATCAATAACGCTGCTATTCTTTATTACATTAATACAGCGACACTTCGAATGAATCATTCTAAAACTCACCCAATGGTCGTCTTGGTCTGTTCGTGAAAGTGATTGTGCACAAGCCTCGCAGCGATACAAGATTTTCCTACTGTGGAATTCTGGGGAAATATATGCCGAACAGTTTCAGAATACTGAGTATTCTAATATTCAAATACTAATATATGTATTTGAAGTGCCTGATCGAGAACAGTAGCTTGACACAAACACTATTTTATACAGCTTTGACCCTGTTATATATTTTCGTAGCTATAGCATTTTCCCGCGTAAACATTTTCAAACGTTACCCCCGGAAACGTGTATGGTACGAAGAAGGATTAAGTAATCTCATTCTACAGAAAATGAATTTGGCAAAACAACAAAACAAACACGGATTTCATTTTTGACAGCTTTCTGAATTGCCAATGTTTCAGAGTTGCTTGTGGTGTACGTGAGTAACGTGCAGTATACCAGGAATTAAAGTTGGCCCACCCCACATGCACATACAAGTATGTCCACTTTTCGTCTCCTTTTCGTTAATTCTGTGTATGAACTTACCCCAACGAGGCAGACTTTGACGGCACCGCCCCCACTGGCAGACATTGTTTCCCCTTTTTGCAGTCTACTCCACTACAGAATGGTTATACTGAAGGGTTCCACCTTCACATGCAATCTTCAGAACCTGCTGTGTCAATTTTGTTGCCTATGGTTCGAAATACGATGAATAAACTATATTACTGAACACACTCATTAACGAAACAAGATCAGTCTTGTTTCATTGAGCATGCTTTTGGTTGAAAACTATTTTCCTGTTCGGTTGAAGCGGTCCAGTAACCAGTTTTTCTCTAAAGCAACGATCGCACACTCCTGATGAATCACAACGATATATTGCTCAAACCCATTTTCCACACGGCGGCGTGTAATGGTGGTCGTCTGTTTGTTAATACTTTGATCTTGTCTGGGTCCCAATCGCAAACTCTATTCGTTTTATTCCGGTAGTAAGAGCCAGGACAATTGTTGGGGGGAAAGTCCAATGACATCACATGCGGCTATATCAGTCATCAGCGCAAAATATTCGCTATATTGCCGTGATTGCCCAAGTTTCGGGGGCTGTCTCATGTACCTCCGGTGCATGATGGTCTACTTGGAGGAGGGATGGAAGTGGAACGAGGACGGGAAAGAGTGGGGGGGGGGGCTGATGGAAGGGACTGGTGGGGCTATTTTTGGTCGAATACAGTGCAAGAAAGAAATCATCCAGGCTCATTCGAAAGTCTCCATGTTTTTGTCACAACATAACAAAATTAAAAAGCAATTACCAAAAAAAAATTAATGTTAACTTATGACGAGTTTACAAAAATCAAGCCAATAGAACAAATCAAGTCAATAGAACAAATAAAAGAGAACAAAGCATAGAGGAACATATTAGGATATGTTGGAGTGAGTTCTAATAATCCAAAGTTTTGGTTTCGTATTTCTTACCCAGGAGGGGACAGAGAACTCATCAAAGAAAACTGACAAACCATTGAAAAAGAGCGAAGTCCGAGCTGTATTAATTTATTTCATTGATAAATATAAAATCAATTCTGACACCCATTGTGACCCATGCCCTGTCCCCTTCCCCCCAAAATAAAATCAAGGTGGCCCATAAGAGACGTAGACTGAATTTTGTTTCGAAACTTGCATGTTCACTGCTTATTTACATTGTATTCACCACAAAGGAAATTGCTGGGAAAAAAAGTGTTTCCGGTAACAAAAGCCCGAGTCATCTTGAACCATTAGACCATAGAGTGTTACCTAGTACCGGTGCATGCCCAAACACGGCCGTGAGAAGGCGAACGAATTTCCTACAAGTCTAGCTTCCTGCTCTAAGTAAGATACTTACCTCCCTTATGTCACCATGCGTTACGGTACGCAGTTCTACTGTGTCACAGCTTTGAATTTCCTTGTCAAACGATTGCACCTTTTTCCGGTAAATTTCCTATCATAGCAACCGTCAGCCGAGGTCCCAGCAATCAAACCAAAGCCACGCGAGTGATCCTACTCAGCATTCCTGTGACAGTTCCTAGTAACCTTTCTCAATTAGGCCTACGCATAGTAAAACTCATTGTGGGAACTTTTGAAACAAACACGTCGAAACTTATATTTACATCATTCATATTCTGGCCAAAGTAAATCAAGAGATTTGAGGTTTTACGGTGACAAGTTGAAGTTTCAATAGATGATTATGCAAGGATATAGGCCCTACGCATATCAACAACAGGAAAAGGATCTGCGAGCCAAGTGTTAGGTTATTCTGGGTCTGGTGTGAGTGCTAAACATGGCGACGAAGTATACGTGGAAGGTTTGTCTTGTTGGGGTAAGTGATCATGTAGGCCTATGTTATACATCTAATTGATTTTCCTGTTTCGTCTCATTGTACTGGTACATCGAAACTTCTCTTAAACATGAGTAACGGCGGTATGTATTCACTATTGATAGCAGCTGTCACATTGCAAGAATGACACGATGAGAACGCGATCAAATTTTGGTTTTCATTTAGAATTCACATATTAATCGGGCAGAATTTCCGCATGTACTGGACACAATTACCTTCCACGATAGAGCACACACGCACAAACACCTTTCCTTCCGAGGCAGCACATACAATGCAGTATGACGTTTTGACATTTTGTGACTCAACCTATGAAACGAGTCGCCAGAGCCCATCTTGGGTTAAAAGAGATTTCAAAAAATCTTGCTTCATAAACCCTGAACATTTTTCATGCACCGTAGTCCATTTTTCTTAACATGCAAAACTGAGTGATTCTTTAAAAAAAAATAACGCTGTTTGCTCTTGCAAACTAAGATCAAATGCATAAACTCGTAACTCATTTCGTAGGAATGGGTCACATTTTCCCTCTCACTTCTTAAATGTAATTTTCCAGAACACGTGCATATACATCAGCTGTCATGAGTCACATTCAAACAAAATTAATGAGATAAACAAACATAAACTTAATGAATAATACATTCGATCTGTTCAAAGGCTTGAGTTTTTAAAATTACATCCAACAGAACAGTTGTGTTCTCACATTTTTTTATCATTTCGCGTTAACGCACACAAACAATCCTCTCGGCGCGAAAGTTGAATTTTGCTCTCATTTTCCTCTTTGAAAATTATGACAAAACTCTCAGAAAGAAATAAAAAGTGTCATTTTGCTGAGACACGCTCTCTTCTACATATGACCAATGTGACTTACGACAAAACGATTTTCAGATAAAGGTCACTTTTGAGTTTGGATTTACAGTACTCTAATATTATGTTGATTATTACAGGATACTGGAGTAGGGAAGACATGCGTTGCAGTCAGGTTCCATCAAGATAGATTTACCGGAACTATTCCAACAATTGGGTAAGAATGAAAGCAGAAGAAACTTCGGCATCTGAAATAATCCGACTGTTTTGACTTCTACCCAGTAATTCACACTGCCAAATGGCTAAACATAAGGTGCATGGGTAGAAGAGATTTTTAATAATAAAAAAAGAAGTTTTGATAGGGTATCGTTAACATACTGTTTGAAAATAGGGCACAGAAATGCAAAGGTTGGTTTGGTTTGTATTAAAGACATCGTTAGACTTGAACACATGTAAATAAATCTAGAGGCTTTTTTACCGCATTTAATCCACTTGTTTGCTTTGCTGCATCAGCGTGATCACAGAAGACTGTGGAAATAGTGCCTTCTGTCTTGGTCATACAAAGCTAACGAGGTGGCTTGTGTCTCATTGTTTCCACAGGTATGCTTTCATGGAAAAGACGCTTCAGGTTGATGAAATTGAACACCAGTTCAACGTGTGGGACACGGCTGGACAGGAGCGGGTAAATTTTGCCCAATTAAACTAAAAAAAAAATTGAATTACTGCTACAACAAAGACGACAGTAACAAAACAATAAACAAACAACGGCACAAGGAAAGAGACCAAAAAAAACTTCTACGTCATCCTCAGACTTAATTGAGTTACACATAATAAGCTATTCCGACAACCAAACCACCTTTCAGCAGACTAAACGAAAACATGAACGTGCACAAAATGTAACGGCCGACAATCGACGTCCGACGATGCGTTCCTGCGCTGGTTTGGACAATGCGAAACACTTGCAATACGGGCAATTCATAATGGTGCGCCTCCAGTTTGCAACACGTTAACCAGTCACAGTCCAGGAAATCTGTCGACCCTTTCCATATGTGCATTGGGTCGACAGATTTCTCGCACTGTGATTGATAACGCGTTGCAGAATCTTGGAGGCGCACTAATGTGAAACGTTCATATTTCTCAATTACGGAGCAATAGTATTATGCAGAAGAAAGATCACACACTAACCTAACGGTGGTAACGTGATGAGAGTTTCTCAGTCGTGGAATCACTGCTTCGCGCTGCATTTTGTCACTTCACTCAATATCCCTCCGCGCATCGCGAGCTGTAAGCACATTGCAAACGAGAGATGTCTGTACACTGTTTTCTGTCTTTTTTTTCCCTTCCCCGACAGTATCGGTCTCTTGCACGGGGATTTTTCAGACGAGCAAGCGCCATGGTCTTAGTATACGACATCACTAACTCGGTAAGCGCTCACGCCCATTTATCGCCGATTTTAATATCAAATACATCAATCAATTCTATCAGATAGAAAGCCGAGGTCAACATTTGTCGTGCACCACGTGTTACGCACGTTTCTTTACCCTAGCATTCTTTCCAAGTTCTGGACAAGTATTGGGTCCGGTCGGCACAACGAGGCGCGCCGGAGAATGCTGCCCTAGCTGTGATTGGGAACAAGAGCGATATAGACGACGATAAGCGACAAGTCACAGAAGAGGAGGGCAGTACGTTTGCACAAAAACACAACGCAATCTTCATGGAGGTTAGCGCCAAGACCGGCAAAAATGTCAATGAATTCTTCGAGGAACTAGGTGAGGATTACACATACAGTCGAATTTCATTAATAAGAGGTCTTTTGGACTAAACTAATTACCTTTTATAACCCTTGTATTATCTGGAATAACAAACGATACAAAACAAAGAATTGGAACCTAATAATTTCCTTGTTATAACAGGAATCTTGTATTAACTGTGCTCTTTTTTTTATGAGGCTTGACTGTGTATACAAAAAGTAGGAGCCTACACGATTCAGTAATAAAGGCACGAGGTGATATTCCAAGATTAAATGATCAAGTCCCAAAAATAACACAACATGGTAAAGGCAAAGGGGTGCTCCGACTAAAAAAAACCGGACGGGAAGTATCTGAATCAGACAAAATATACTATTCTTAGCGAGAAAAGAATGTCACCTGTAAAGCACACCAAATAGGATGTAGATATCGCGACCTATCTTGTGGTTTATATCCCATCCTTGTAAGAGATGTGTAAATATGTGTCAGTATAAAAACACGTCAATTCATGACAGATTAGCCAAATTACTTACATGCACAAAGTACCATCAAATCACACAGCGACAACTGTTTGTTACATTCTTTTCCAATAGGCTATATGTGATAGGAGTAAGCAATGAATCAAAACGAAAGCTAACGGACACAAAAAAGAAACCAAATCCGCACCAACAAACACCACGCAAAACAGAAACAAAACCACAATATGACAATGTGGTGGGTGCATTAATTTCACAACTAGCAAACTTTATCGCACTTGCCTGCTTTCTCCTAACATGACGATTAAGTTTATATGGTACCAGCGTATCTCACTGCCGCCCAATACGACATCTATGATCTCTGCAGTTGATAGCATGACATTTATATCCGCTTAAGAGGCAGCATGTAACAAAGGTCAGGGCAGTTGAATATACACTCTTGCTTTTATTTAAAGGGGTAGTGTAAGTTGTAGCTGCGAGTGTTATTAAACCAAACTTATCAGAATTGGACATTTCTGTGAATAGAGTCAACACGACCACACAGCATTTACATTTGTAAAATTCCTCATCTTTATCAACTTCTGTTTTCATTTTGTACAAATTGTACAATAGGTAGTAGCCTTGAAATTAACTCCAACAAAAATCAACCTTATCTTATAGGTATCAAGTTTACAGCTGCAAGGAATGAAATGGAGGTGGATTCATGAGGGGGGGAGGAGGTTTCAACCCTCTTGCTCAAACATAACAAAATTAAAAAAGAATTAAAAATAACAATTATAGTAATACTGTTCACCGAAAATGGGTCATTAGGGAGACATTCCCATAAGAACGTGCACAATTGTTTCCAACTTTACTGTCCCAGAATTCAATATTCCCTAATCCGTTCTTAACCAAACTTTGCAGGTTTCATTTTAGACCCTAATCTATTATCTCTCAAAATTTGGATGGTAAAATTCGGCCTCCTTCTGGTAACTGGGGCATTAGGGAGACATTGAAATGTCTCCCTAATGACCGATGTCTCCTTAAGGTCGAAAAATTTACAACAAAGTGTCTCCCAAATGACCTATTTGTATTAATAACAACTAATCCAATAATAACATCCTGTGATGGTTATTATTTGTACATCAGTAACAACGTAATGGACTACCTATGTGTCCACAATAATCTGACATAAAGAAAATCTGACGAGTTTGACCACCCCCCAAACAATTCCTGGATCCTGCCCGTCGAGTATAAACTGAGTCACAAGTTATTACAAATTTTATTACAAACAGACTTTAAGACATCCATCTAGCTCATAATGTGAGTTCATTATTTCTGTGATCTGACTTTCCATATTAACTTTACTCACATCTAAATGTAATGGTGCAATTCAAGTTTTCTGTACGACATTCTCACTTCTAGCAAGAGCACTTACAAAAACCCCAGAACTAGAATTTCAAGCCGTTGGGATGCGGATCCTGAACACCTCTGGGCAGGACAGTGAGGCATCTACTGATGAGAAGACATCCAAGAACAGGTGCTGCAGCTCGTCTTCATGATGACTTTGCACAAGACTAGGCTCCAGTTCATCACAAGTCCTTCACAAGTCACTTCAGGGGTCAAGTCATAAGTCCTTTCACAAGACCAGTCATAAGTACAAACCATGATGGAATAATGCTACTTGTCACAGTTAATATGAATACCTTTTGACTTGGCTTATCTGAATGACCTGTGATGGACTGAACTATAACATTGCTATGCTCAAAAACAACAGTGCACATTCCTGTAAGCTTTCAAAATCCTCATTTGGTCACTCAGCTGTTGGAAAGCTGCAAGAACAAATGAACAAGCTCATACAAACATTACTCTTGACTTCCGCAGAGAAGTCCAATAGCAGATATAGCAACTAACAGGCTCCTGTGACTGCCGGGACTTTCCTGTTAGAGGAAATGGAAGGAAGTTTTTGTCAACATCACCTCATCATTTATGGCTGCCTTCCACTGCCAAGGACGCAGGAAGCTGGAAGAGTTTGCAGGACATAGTGAACTAACATGCTTTAACTGTTCAGTGGTAAACTAACATGTACTACATGTATTACCATTCAATTGTGAGCAAACATGCACTATTACTGCTTAGGGGTGAGCCAATATGCACTATTACCATTCAGTGGTGAGCCAACATGTACTACTACTGTTCAATGGGCTCCTAACAGGGAAGACTCATGCCCGTAATTCTGGTATATCCTAACATGGTCTTTAAAATCAGTTTCTGTCGATAATGAACCTAAAAATGAACTGTTCAGATGTGCTCGAATATATACTTTAAAAAAGAGGATAAAATGCAGAATCAAAATAATTTAGCATTTATATAGTCAGGAGAATATGTACATGTATATGAAAATACTTTTGAATCTGTAATACCACAGAATAGATCTGTAACATACTTGGGATAATAGTTTAATGTTAATTGTACCAATAGCTAAGACTGGTGCTAAAGTTACTGTAGCGCTACTTTAATTTATTGCCTTCTCATTTTGATTATAACATTTGGTAAAGCAATTGGTATTTGTATACTGTGAATATTGTGATAAAATTCTAAGGCAAAAGGCACCAATGTACCACAAGGTTTTTAGAATATAAATAGTTAGAAGTATCTAGAAGTCTTTTCAAATTACAGAGACTTTACATTAAAAAGTCTGATTTGAGAATAAACATTGAATAAGAAACTTTGTTTTCAGGAGTTTTTTTATTGCTTTGCTTGTACTTACATCGGTATTGCTTGTGATGCCACTTGACGATCTTTGGGCTCTGTGCACATGTACTGCCTCAACAGCAAACAACAGAAAGCAAGGGCTGACTGCCTGGTTCCTGCCTACATAGTGACTTAACTTTACAATGAAAATGAAGGACTGGGAACAGTCTACCCACTTTCCTTGGTTCATGTACACTAATTGTACAAGGTGTAACGTGTCAACCAATGATGTTTGTCACAGTAACCTGTTGCTAGGAAACGAAATATCCTGACACGTTTGCATTGGAGCCCTAGTCTTAAGAAGGTTGAGTGACCTCACAGACACAACCCAAACTCCCCCTTCTCAGCCAAAACAAAAAAGTCTGCATATTCTATCAGGTTGGCCTGAGTTGACTTTGGTCTTGAGAATGGTCAGTCTCTACTTGTCAGTAGTTGGTGGAGAACCAGGCATTGATTGCGTCCAGCGATACATCCAAGATGACTCCAGTGATGACATACTGCTCTTTGCTGTGATCCTGTAAGGGAGGTAAAAGCACAGGTAGCTAGTCTCATTAACAAGGCCTAGGTACATGCACGTATATTTTCAAATATCCAGTGATCTTAATTAAAAAGTAGCAAGCACTGATCCTGTGCAGTAGACCAGAGTGATAGAATAGCAACTTATTCAGTTCAGTAAACACAGCTAAAAGTAGCAATATGAATGTGGCCTACATTCATGTGTCAGAGTTTTAGGGAATTGCAATGCAGCGTCATGACATATGTTCTATGTTTGAACATTTAAAGTGTTTTAATACGCATCTAAGATATCTGTAAAAATGAGCCTGAAAAAGTCAGATGTTTTCAAAATTTCTCCAAATTTGGGCTCCCTTTCTGGTCATTCAATGAAGCCTAGATCTGCCACAAAACACATGTTGCTGCACTTTTAGTACAAAGGATGTGCAATTAGTTATACTGTCATCTTTATCAGACATATTTGACTCTAAAGGGAAAAATAGGAAAATATTTTCTGCAGACTCCCCACAAGTACAATAACTACGGTACAGAATGTTGACAATAGAGGAAATAATGGTGGAGGAATGGAGAAAATCAGAAATCCTATTAAATTAGGTAAAAATGTTAGACCTACTTTATATACACCATTACAAGTGAAAAACTACTAAAACGAAGTTGGATATTTGAAGCTGATCATTAGAGGAAACGACACAGGAAATCACATGCTTTTCAGGCAAGTCAGAGACACAGATGACCATGCACAGACTCGTAGGGTAACTACATTTGGAGGGAAAAGCCACACCAGGATTTTTGAAAATCATTTCCATGAGCTGGGAAAAAATTCTAGACCCACCCATATTGAGTACAGGTTTACAGAGCCTTTGTCTCCGCTGTGAGTAATTACATATGGGTCACCGTCATAGTTGTAATTTACTGCAAATAAAGAGAGCAGAATACAAGGAACAGTTAGTGAACCATTGTTTATTATCACTGAGCTTTTAATAGGCATGTTTGACAATAAGCATGTGAGATTTTCAACTTTCAGCTCTAAGAAGACAAAACAAAAATCTGAATGATCTTTGGAATGCAAAAAGCCAAGCACATAAAATCACAGATACCAAATAGACACCTACAATTAGTTCTTACAGAAACTTTAGCAAATGTTTACATTTCTTTTGGCTTGTCTTTTTCGTTTTCAAGATAATACAATTCAAATTAGTATCACACATTTTATTGCTTTCTGTTTGATAATGTGGTTTGAAAATGCTTCATAGCATGATAATTCAGAGCCATTTCTGGAAAAGTTTGCAATTTGATGTGTAATCAACAAAAGTGTTCATCACTTACCTACTGAATCATGCGTCTTTTCAACAGTCACTGGGCAACTGAAAACGAAGACATTTGGAAGACAAATTAACAGTCATCCCAACTCATGAAGTGTCTTTCTCAGAAGTGTCTAGTTTTTGATTAGACAACATTTTGTCTGATTTAATTTTTTGGGACTGGGCCCGTCCCTTTGCGAGCAATTTATGAGACTAGGATTGTGTCAGTTACAAAACACTCCATAAGAAATGGCCTTCCTCACCTGATGCACCAAAATGGCTTTAGAAATTCATCATGCATGGTCACATCCAGGATGCAGAAATCCTGGAATTACAAAGGGGGGAATAATGGAATACATATCAAAGGGTTTAAACAGCTTTTTACTAAAATGGTTGAAATTGAAACCCTAATACCTGAAGATTTCCCGTTCTACTTTGTAGTTAAGAGAGAGTAAGTGAAAATATGGCTATCAAGTCAGAGTTTGGCATTTGAATGCAAAACAGTAAAGTGTAGTTGAGCACAGAAAGTCACAGAAATTATTTTTTCCCACACAGGAAAGAAATAATGTTCAATCGAGGATATTCAGAAATTTTATCCTATGTAAATTAAATTCCTACTGGAAGACAGTTACCCATATGTTTTTGAAAAAAAAAAGTTTTCTATGCAACAAACTTCCACTCAACCAAGTGCCACTATTCCAAATGCTGCAAAACTTACAAGACTGAGTTATCTTTTTCTCATCCATCGCTCACTTCTTTATCTCCATTTTTGAGGGATTTTTTGAGAGGACTGGATGTAAATTCAAACCCTTCCACTGTTTGATCACTATTTACCTGTACTATGCCTTTGAATAAATCAGATTTCCATGGCAACTGCATCTTTTTTGATGCATATGAATGGTCGCTGATGACATCTGGCCTTATGGGCACCAACCGGGCAAATCTTTCCTCTGCCAAAAATGGAGAAAACAGGCTTTTTCAAGTAAACACACACACCTCCCCCCCAAAAAAAGTCAAAATGCAACATTTCCAAAACTTCAAGATTTTCAGTTGAATCTGTCCTTTGCCTGACATATACACATAGTTTCTTAAATTTTAAAAGAAGGTTGATTGAATTATTCATACCTTTTTGTGTCTTGCTACAGTGGACATTTTTAAACTGTTGTCCCCATATCACACTGCGCTGGGTGCGTAATTCCACGATGCATGTGTAGTCATGCAGACCTAAACAGCAATTACGCACATTTTTACAATAAAAACTACTACCAGTTAAGAAGATAGAAGTTAACAGAAGTACGGATGGTCAGTGAGAACTGAACTTTTCTGCTAGAGACCGTCTGCAACGAGGTTACAGATTTTGAAATTGTTAATCAGGAAATGAACACAAAATTCCAAGCTATTATGTCCCCAATCACATCCTGCAAATAGGTGCCAAGTCGGTTAATAGTTTGGCTTTATTCTCCATGTGCAATATCACTGCAGTAAATGTGTATTTCTATCCTTGCATGGGGCCATAGGTTGCCTTGGCCCAAACCTGCAGATGATCGAAAAGGTCTAAACTCGGTCAATTATGATACAAATCCTCACCACAGCCATGCTGGTGGATTTCGACTGGAGTTTACAGACAAAACATAACTATCTAACGACTTGTCACCACGTCTTCCATGAGTTGCACTGAGCTATAACATAGGGACAGCAATCATTGACCTGTCTTGGCTCAATTTTTGTAAATTCATGGTGATGCAAAGTAAAATAAGTTACTGAGGTCTGCCAAGGTCTGCTTAACAGCAGTGAAATACATGTACGGGTTTCATTTGAAATTTACGCAGGCTCATATCTGTAAAGGTTCTCCATACTTCTATTACAAATGTTCATTGCATCCATATTAGTGTCAGTGACAACAGTCAGGAGTGAGATGTCTAACCATAAAGAATTTATGTCAGCTCTGATCAGTTCAAGCAAAATAGAAACTGTAACCCGTAAAAAGGTTCAATACCACACAGTCCAGTCAGATCTGCAACAATTGGTGCCATCTGAGTAAGTTGAGGGAACTTTCAACCAGATCTTGAATACCAAGTCTGTTAATTAATGC